AGTTAAATGTCGAAAAATTAGGTGTCTATTTACTTGTGACCACTCAGTGTATATAGAAGGACAGCTACTGGATGAGGTCCAACAGTTGTGTTATTTGATAAGTATAATAACAGCAGAAATAAAATCAATAACTGCAATGGGAAGAGATGAATTTAAAAGATTATTTTAACAAAAATATTTGACAGAACACTAATGGTGCCGATTAAAACCTTTTCTGTGGTGATGTACACTGTGGAAACACGAACTCTGAGAAAAGATGACATAAGAAAATTATAAAATTTTTGAAATGTGAGTTTGGCAAAGAATGAAGAAATTCAGATGGACAGAAAAGATGATGAACAGAGATATATTAGAGATGGTGCAAGAGAAAAAAAGAGGTTTGTTGGCCATGATGTTGAAAGAGAAGTCGCAACGAAAGAAATCTTTGAAGGAAAATGACCATAACAAATGAAATGGATGCTGCTGCTAGACATGAAGAAAGAATGAATGGTGTGATGTAAAAAGAAAGGTGTAAGAACAGAGAAGAATGACTAACTGATAGTAACTTCTTCATTTACATTTTGTCATTTAAAACCTATGCCTTTTGTATTAAATTTATCAGAATTTTTGTCTTATTCTTTTATCATAGATCTAACAAACGACTTTTTTTCCTGTGCTTTTAATATAAATGGTGCTAAAAAAGGTATTTGGCTAAAAAAAAAAACGTTTTGTCTCAAAGGTTTTCTTTTGGATACAGTAGTTAAATTGGCCTTACATTTCTTTACTTATAAGTAAATGAAGTTCGTTTTACTTACGAGGAATCTTAAAGCTTTTATCTTTAATTGCACTTTTTTAAAGAAATAATGGATTTATATCACTCTTAATTTAATATATCATACTCACTTTTTGAATCTCCCCCTTTAAAGCTGTGACTTCTTCGTGGTGGTAAAACAAGTAATGGTCCTGCAACTTCTATACTGAAGTGTTTTCCTGCTCGACTTACCAAATACTGCTTGATACTGTTACCCACACAATAATCGTTCGGGTTGATGCACTGTTAGAAGAATGATTCTTATAATTGAAACAAAAAACTCAGCTTGCCATAAAATATCAACATAGCATCATCAGGTATATTCTGCTTTATTATAATTAATTATCACTCATCTCAATAATTATCAATTTAAGTAAATAAAACTTTACTAAAAATATGAGCACAAACTCAAGCCATTGGACTAATCTGACAGAGATGTTAAGTAATTTCTACTCCGATGTATTAGTATTGAAGAATACCAGAATACATGAAAAGTATCCACACTTACTCTTTACTAAAGCGTATAATAACAAGGTTTAGTAATAGATTTGTTTGTTTTGAACTTTGCGCAAAGCTACACAAAGGCTATCTGTGCAAGCTGTCCCTAATTTAGCAGTGAAACACTAGAGGGAAGGCAGCTAGTCATAACCACCCACCACCAACTCTTGGGCTATTCTTTTACCAACAAATAGTGGAATTGACCGTCGCATTATAATGCCCCCACAGCTGAAAGGGTGAGCATGTTTGGTGGGATGGGGATTCAAACCCGCAACCCTCAGACTGCGAGTCAAGTACCCTAACCACCTGGCCATGCCGGACCTTAGTAACAGAATTCCAAATACCTAACAAATACCAACAAAGCTAGGTTTACCTCAAGTTTCAGTAACAATAAACTTTAGTTTGTACTTTGAAGCAAATTTTTACAATACCTTTTATTGAAAACAGTGTTTATTTGGATGAAGCATTACCACAAGTATAAATACTATGTTAAGTATGTTCTTCAGTGATGCACAATTTAAAAATTTCCCATAGTTCAAGTTCTCCTATCTTTGCAAAGTTGTTACAAAAAGCCATTCTTCTCTCCAAAAAATGTTTAGAGAGAAAAAAAATCAGAGTAAGAAAATATCAATGATGAGAAATTCCTGCGCTAGACTCACCTGTTTGACACCAGAAATTGGAATATTTATTTTTTCAGAACATGCGGCAAGGCGACAATGAAGGTAAACTTTCTTAGATATCCACTTTTCAGTTAACTGAAAGAAAAACCCCTGCTGGTGAGTTGGCTCTCTAGAAGTTTCTTGACCACCGGATGGCCCCATGTTCAGTAGACCAACACTCAAATGTTTAGGACAACTGAAACAAATACAATCAACTTAAAACATTCTCTTGAAAAATAAAAAAAATGCTGCTGGCCTTACAAGTCACAAGGTACTAAAAGTAATTAAACAATTAACATTAAATGACTGTTTGTTCAATTAAATTTGATAAGTTGATCTTTTAGGACTTATCATACCTAAAAGTAAAAAACTATTACCTGACATATGCAACCAACTATTTAGAATGATAAAAAAAATCAATCAAACATACACATTATACTTCAACAAATTATTTTACCTCTTCCATGAAACTCTTTACTTTTGAATTGGATTTAAAGAGCATTTCATTTCATTATGGCATCCGTATGACGACTCGACAGCTTAAATAGAAACATTTCACCTCTAGATTCACCTCAACATCTTACATTTATCTGTATGACGACTCAACAGCTTAAATAGAAACATTTCACCTCTAGATTCACCTCAACATCTTACCCTTACCTGATGACTCAATAGCTTAAATAGAAACATTTCACCTCTAGCTTCACCCCAACATCTTACCCTTACCTGTATGACGACTCAACAGCTTAAATAGAAACATTTCACCTCTAGATTCACCTCAACATCTTACATTTATCTGTATGACGACTCAACAGCTTAAATAGAAACATTTCACCTCTAGATTCACCTCAACATCTTACCCTTACCTGTATGACGACTCAACAGCTTAAATAGAAACATTTCACATCTAGATTCACCACAACATCTTACCCTTACCTGTGTTGAATCAGTACTTCTCGGTTATCAACATCCAGAAGCGAATTGTCAGTCAGAGACAACCAGCATTCATCAGTTACAATATACAGATTTGGACCTGATAAGAAAGTATGCGCGTAAATAGACAACAATACAATGATATGTGCACATACTTATGACCCAAAACTAGTATTTTGCTTCTCTTCACTTATCTCTTCTAGTCAAATATGCATCATCATTCAAATTAATAGCTAATTTTTTAATTGATAATAAAAAAAAATCATATGCACAGTTACTGAACATCTGACAAAATAAATAGTTTGAAAAATTCAATGAAAGAAAAAAATTGAACTAAATTTTAGCAAAAAACAACCTTTAAGTATTCAAACATACAGCTGGGAAACAGTTTTATCTAAAGAGTATGACCTTTTACTAGCAAAAGACAGTTGACAATACACCTCTTGTTGATATTACATTACATTTGTTTACCATCTTTGCTTGGATTATCTGCTCTGTCATTGCATTTAATGCTAAATAAATTAGATAGGGTAAAGAGTAACAAAAACACATTTTTTGGAGAAGATAGGACACACGAATACGTCAAAACTTGTATCCTTGCAGAAGTCTTTTGGTAAAACACAGTTTGTTCTATAAATGTGATTTTTCTTTGTTACTATTAAACACAATATTGTGATCTTTTGTTTGCAAAATGATACGATTCAAAAATAACAAAATCATGTTCCTTTTTTTTCAGTTTCTCTGGTCCTGTTTTTAAAGACAAATGTTTAACTTTATGCAAGTAACAGACAAAATGCGAGATAACTGCAAATCACAAACCTGCATCAATTGAAGTCCGAACATAAACTTTATCTCGAGCCAGGACTTCTGCCAAACCATTCTTTTTCTGTAGCATCTTATGTAAGGTTGAATCCTTGAAGAGCTCCATGTGATATACATGATCGTGATTTCCCTTCAAGTCCAAAGAACAATTATTAACTTCTACGCCATAATTAACCAGTTTTTAAAACATTAACTACTATGCAGTATCTTTGTACCAGGCCTGTCTTAGTTAGATAACCAATATATCAGAACATGT